TAACAAGTCAAATATCTCGTCACATTTTGTAACGTCAAAACTATATGTTTTCTTTGGGAATCTATCACTGTTCTTTTCAGACTCAGTAGGATTCTTCCCATTTGAGGGCACTAACAATCTACAAGAGTATGGTGGACCTTGCTTTAATTCTTCCAAATCTATTTCGCTTTCTTCGACGGCTATAGGATTACTAGATGTCTCTAGATCGTCATCATTCATTTCGACATAGGCTACCCTTTCTCTTCGATGAGTCTTAGTTGCTTTAGCTTTTTCAACTTTAAGACGTTCTACCTGTCGAACTCTATCGGCCAATTGGGCCATATCCCTCAGGTATTGGGTATCTGATTTTTCCTAATAGAATAATCCAGTCCCCATGCTGCCATTTCGATCAATTCACGCTCAGGCACTTATGTAAAGCATCTGGCTTTGAGTAGTCGAAATCTATTTAGATATTCATCTATTGGCTCAGTGAATCTCCTTTTCACGCTAGCCAGTTCTTTTAGACTTATTTTGGTTTGTCCCATGTAAAATTATTCATGGAACAATCTCTCCAATTGATTCTAATTGTGGATCGAATTAGCTAGGAGGGTGGTAAACCAAGTAAAATCATTTTTAGTTAGAGAACTTGGGAAGTACTTAATCCTAAGGCTCTCGTTATTTGATATTTCCCCGACTTCTATCAAATATCTCGCCACATGTTCAACAGTGGACTCCATCGTATCTCCTGAAAATTTAGTGAACTTTGGAACTTTCCACCTAGGGGGTAAATTTGTTTGTAAGATATACTCTGACAATGGGGATGTAAAGTTTGGTCTATGAAAGCCAATGTTCATTCCATTTTGTATCATGATTCTTTCGATCATGGCTGTCAGATTATTATCTGTTCCATAATTATGATGTCGAACCTGCTGTATCAGTTCGTCAGCATTTTGGTTTCTATTTACCACCATTACACCTTGATCGCCATCTCTAGGGATCTGTGGGGGGAAATATGGGTATTTCGACCCTAGGTTGTTCGATTTCCACTCTATGGTTTCTCCTATCTAGCTGTGGATTTTGGTTAATGGTTACATCTTCTTCTAAGACTATACCCTGATTCTCTCTTATTAGCGCTCTTTGGGGTTGTCGAATAGGTTGGGGAACCCCAAAAAATCCAGCCATGCGCGTCATTTGCGCTGATATTTGTTGATTTGACTGGGTGGTATTTTGTATTAGAGAGTCCAACATTGTACTCAGTTTGTGCCAACATTTGTACCATATCATAGTTGCTTTCATCCATCTGTTGCCTCAAAATTGCTGCGGAAGCATTTGTGAGGCTTGGTATTGCATGGGATGCCCCTCCTAAGAGTTGGTTTCTACCCAAATTCGCCATACCAGTTCCAGATCCCTGTAATGGTGAAGACGCACTTACCAGAGATTCTGAAAATGTAGACACAATGTTCATAAGACTAGCCATTTCAGTAGTTGGCATGCTATAAGGCTGGTCTCGACCCATCCAGGTTGTCGAAAATCCTGGGGGAACGTATGGTCGAGATCCTGGATTTACCCTTGGTGGGGGTGTTCCTAATGGACCTCTGGGACCTGCATACGAAAGTATTGGTCCTGTTTGAGTTGTTGCTAATGTTGGTGTCGAACCAACGGTTGATGAGATAGTTTCACTAACGGTTGGTATAACAACTGTTCCCGTAGTAATTGGTGGAGGTATTTCTCCATTATTTGGCTGATTAGCCATTTCACTTTCACTGTTTCTCCTCCTAGTTGTACACTCGTTGGTGGTTAATTTACCACTTCTTAATAACATACAACACTTTGTAAAAGAAAAGAAATTATGCAAAACATTTATGTTAATATAAACAAGCAAATAAAAATTAGCAACGTCCCACCGGGTGTGCCAATTTGTTTACCGTGTTGGTTGGTAAACAACCGCTGATCTTCCAAAAAGGGTAAATTTTTGGTTACTCGCAGGATCGATCAGTTTGATCCTAGGACATATGCTAATTATTGGTGTTGTTTGGATATAAATGCTAATATTAATAAATAACACACGTTTGACTAAGAAAGGTTGAGGTTTGAGATGAGTTTGAGTGTAGAAAGCAAGTAGAAAAGGGGTTGAGAAGAGTTTAAGTGCAGAAATCTGGTAAAAAGTGCAAGTAAAATGTAAGGGAAAATAGATTTTTGCAAGTAAGATAAAAGGCAAGGAATGTAAAGAGGAATGTAAAAGACTTTGATTATAAAATGTGGTATTTCAAACGTACATTTTCAGTATTCTTTCTCACACAGCGGGTACTCGAATAGTATTGAATGACTTGTACAGTTAGTTGAAAACCCGGAAATTTACATAAATTTTCTATATTTATACTAGAACTATGTAACCGTCGAGGAGTTGTTTTGCTCTAAGATGAGGACAAGTGTCCTCTACATGTGCTTCAACCTCTATCTTCATGCCATGTTGCTTTCCTCAACTGTCAGGCGAACTGTTTTTCCCTCCTTTCTTCAGATTCAAAATCACTTGTTGCTGATACGAGACTTCCTTTTAGTCGAAGACCATAGAGGCCTTTCAGTCGAAGGCCGCAAGAACCTTTTGGTCGAAGATCAACTTTAACTTAGAAATTTCTCTAAGTATTTTCCATCTGTCGAAGTATTTCCAACTTAGATTTGTTCAATCTATTTTTGGCCCATAAGACCAATATGTTGTGGGTGTCGAATTTAGGAGCTAACAGATTATCAAATACAAAGCTCGCCTTGTTGCACAAGGTTTTTACCAAAGACCAGGGATCGATTATGAGGTAACATATTCTTCTATTATAGATGTCATTACTTTTCTTTATTTAATTGGTTTATCAGTATTTAATAATCTTGATGTGTACCTTATGGATGTTGTTATTGCTTATTTCTATGGATCACTTGATAGTGATATATACATGAAAATCTCATAAAGATTTAAAAGATCTGAGACATCAAAGTCGAAAGAAATGTATGCGATTAAGTTGCAAAGATCATTGTATGGGATAAAACAATTAAGACACACGTGGTATAATAGACTAAGTGAATATTTGCTTAAAGAAGGCTACGATAATAATCATATTTGTCCTTGTATTTTTATAAGAAAAAAACATCTGAATTTGTAATAATTGTTGTTTATGTTGACGACTTAAATATCATTGGGACTAATAAATAAATCAAAGAAGCGATAAATTATTTAAATAATTTGAAATGAAATATCTGAGAAAAATTAGATTCTGCCTTGGTTTACAGATTGAGAATACTAAAAATGGTATATTGGTACATCAATCAAATTATACAGAAAGAGCATTGAAAAGGTTCAACATAGACAAGACAAACCTTTTGAGTAGTCTAGTGAAGGGTAGAACACTTAATATTGAAAAGGATCCTTTTAGGCCTAAGAAAAGTAATGAAGAGGATCTTGATCCAGAAGTGGAATACCTCAGTGTCATTAGAGCACTCGTGTACCTTGACAGCTATACAAGACCTGATATATCCTTTGCAGTAAATTTACTAGCAAGATTCAGTACATGTTCTACAAAGAGACATTAGAAAGGAATAAAACAGATATTTCGATATCTCAGAGGTGCATTTGATCTTGGTTTATTTTAATCTAACAATACAAAACCAGTTTTGCTTGGTTATGCAGACGCGGAATATTTTTCAGGTCCACATAATGCTAAATCACAGACTGGATATATGTTTACATATGACGACACTGCAATATCATGGAGATCTCAAAAGCAAACACTGGTAGCAACTTCTTCAAATCATGTTGAAGTAATTGCCTTCATAAAGCAAGCCAAGAGTGTAGATGGTTAAAACCAGATAAAAATTCAACAATTTTATATGAAGACAATGTTGCATGTATTACCTAGATGAAAGAAGGTTACATCAAAACTGATAGAATCAAGCACATCCCTCCAAAATTATTCTCATTCACACAAGAACTCGAAAGAAACAAGAGGTTGATATTCAATACATTCGTTCAAGTTTTCAAGAAGCACTTCCCAAATCAGTTTTCAAGAAGCACTTACAAAATATTGAAATGCGACACCTTCGAGATCTTTGAAGAAGAACTAATGTGTTCTATTGAGGAGGAGCATAATGTTGTACTCTTTTTCCCTTATTAAGGTTTTTATCTCAACGAATTTTTTCTAATAAGATTTTTAACGAGACAACAAATATTCTCATAACTAGGGGTATTCAAATCCAAACCAAAGCAAACCGCATACATATATTTCTATACTTATTTATTTTTTATTAGTATGATATGTTACGTGAATTTATTATTAGATGATAATAATTTTTTAATAATAGTTATTAGCTTGGTATAATTTATTTATTTATATTATTTCAATCATAATCAATCACTCTCATTTTGTAATATTAACTTTTAATATACTATATGTTATATATTATATCAAATCTTCGATTTATTAGTAGTTTTATAATATTAATAAAAATATAATGTGTAATTTGGATATCCAAAAATCGATCTAAATTAAACCGCATAAAATTAGATCGGATCGAATTAGATTTTTTTATTATATCATCCAAAACCGAACCGCAAATAAATTTATCTTTGGATCGAATGATTTTTTGTCATAAAACCGATCCAAACCGAACCGCGAACACCCCTACTCATAACTATCCTCAATCAGACTTCAATAAAATATCATGACAAATATTTCAAAAGAGAATTGTTATAATAATAAGAAATTATTATATTTACTATTTGAAATATCTTGTGAATAGTTAATATATCTTATCTACAAGAAATTATCAACTTAACAGAGAAATTTAAACTTTACATTTCCGATCCAAGTGCTATATATACCACGCCCTAATAGAAACACACATAAAAATTTCAAAGACAAATAATATAGTCTCTTCTATCTCTATATTTTAGTTTGTTTCAAACATTTTGGTTTTTCTCACCAGAGTTGATATTATAACCACGCATTATTGAATTAGTTATGCATGTGCCCATAATATCAACCATTTAATTTATCAAAGGTTAATGCTACTCTCCTTTGAATTGCACACGTAGAAAGGCCCAGTATGTATAATTTTAATGTTACAATTATCAAGAAAAATTTCTGGTTCACAACAAATGCTTTCACTGCTATCCAAAGACTAATAAATATTCTAAGTTCTCGTAGACCTTCCTCATGTGTAATCCTTGTCAAAGCGGAAAGAACACTCTCATAAGGAATAACATTAGGCCTCATTCCTTGTGTCTGATGGATTTAAGAGGAAATATGAGTCAATACTTAACATGAGAAAAACATGTAACAGTATCAATGAATGAGAAATAAAGAATTCATATTGAGACGATAATCATCATGTCTGATGGGTTTAAGAGGAAATATGAGTCAATACTTAACATGAGAAAAACATGTAACAGTATCAATGAATGAGAAATAAAGAATTCATATTGAGACGATAATCATCATCGAAACATAAAGAGATACAACAAATACAAGTTAAAACAGATACAAAAGCAACTATTCAATTTAACCAATTAGTTTTCATAGAAAGCATGCCATAATAGGTAGCTAATAAACTCTAAATTTCATTTAAATAAATAAGATGAGAGATTCTTATAAATATATGGAAAATTGAGAGGCATCAACGGTGAAAAGGACGAGGAAAAGAAACAACAAAAAATAGTGTGCATTCCAATTTTTACATATATTTTACTAAGATTATGACGAAGTAGTTCTTAAGCCTATTAGCATTAAATTATTTATAAACCCTTATTACAGTATGACCAAGATGATATTGAGAGGTTACTGTCCATCAGCAGAAGTTCAACTTTAACTATCTAAACACTTAAAGAATGTGGTCGTCGAACAGACACCTTGGTTTTAAGAAGCTTAAGATGCTTGTCTTCAATGCCTTTTGCACTTGCAAGATCTATATGCTCCACATTGTGATCTCTAGTCTGCAAATAAATTTTAAGAAAAAACATACAAATGAATGTTTTATGATTATAGGATGCAAAAGTCGCGTAAATTCGATCATTTTTCAACGGAAAGAATAAAACCCGCGTAATCCTTCTTTCACATTCTCTGAAGTTACATTAGTATAGAAAGCATCCCATGTACACCAACCAAACCAATTCAATATTTCCGGCATCTAAAGAATAGAAGTAGGTGATGAACTTTAAGATACAATAAGGCCATGAAATTCTCACTTTAAAGAGCGAAAATGATATTTACCTTCTTTCTCTCGCGATGACAAAATGTCTTCAAGTGTTTCTGAACAGCCTAGACAAACAAAAAAAACGAATGACTCATACTTACTGATATGTTGACAAGTCGCTCGAGCAAATAGAGACGTAGGTACAATTGACCGAATATTGTTATCAAACATAATATTGTAAAACTCACTTGACAGCATTTGTTATTATGAAAATGATCAACTATAACTTGATGAAGATTCATGTCCTCTGCAACAGCTTGTGATCTTAGCTCTGCATGTCCCTTCATAACAGCTTTTATGGCCCCGGTAACCTTTCTCTGCAAGGTAAGTATTCCAATTCGCTTGGAAAATACATAAAGAACAGCAAGGGAGAACAATAGAAAACCAACCCCAGTATCACCCTGTTCATGTACGAGTTGATTGTTAGGATTAAAAGAAAACAAATTAGTGAGTGCACGATAAAAAAGGACAACCTCATGCTACCAAACTTCGCCATGGTGAGATTCAGGGAAGAATCAACTTTTTCCATACCTGTCTTTGATATCTTGATAAACCATTCGAATGCATTCTGATTTGATGCTTCGAACATAGTCTTCTCCAGACCAAGGCGGCCTATGATCTTTGCGATAACATCTGCTTGCATATTATCAGCATGTTTGGAAACATCATCAGCATCAATCATTATCATGTCGGCACCCGCTTCTAGACACCTCTCAGCTCTCGTAATCAAGAGATCCACATCTTCTACTAATTATGTTGCAAAAGTTTCAATATAAAGTCAAACCAAAATACTAAACTGATTCTACATCCTTCAAAGAAACTCGTACTCTCACCTCAGGAGCCGATGCAAATGAATATAAAAGTGCTTTTCCATCTAGAATCGGCGTTAAGATAAGCGGCAAAATCAATATGAATTGTATAAAAATCAAACCAACTTGTTTTTTTCAATAATCTCATACCTTATATAGCTTTTGTAATGGTAGAAAAATAAAATATAAAAAATGGAAAGAATATAGATTTACAAACATCACCCTATACATAACCGAAATCTATAAACACAATCAAACATAAACAATTAGACTAAGAAATCAATTAGGGTTTAAATATAAAAATAAAAATAAAAGATTACCGTAAATTTGAAGTTCAATGTTTCGACAGAACATCAATGATAACACGGGTAATAAAATCTTCTACTTTCTTCATTTTATAACCAGCAAAACCTCTTCCAATTTACCTCACAAATACCACCGAAATTCATACCAAACCTCTTCCAATTTACCTCACAAATACCACCGAAATTCATACCAAACAAATCTTCAAGCTCTGCCAAATTCAATTCACTAACTCACTGAAACCTCACTATCAATCACAAAATCTATAACAAATCCTCACACCCTGAACTCACATACCTTCAACCGCTCTAACACACAACCTTCAACCGCTCTAACACACAACTCCTATTAATATAGAAATTCGTCGGCTCATAAATTATGAGAAATATTATTCCTACCCTAAACATGTAGGGATGCTGTATTTTAGGTGGTGTAAGAAAACTGTGTGTGATTTTAGATGTCAAAATAGCAATCCTCATAAATTATTATCTCGGACTATTCATCATGTTTGAATTTTCAATGTGAACAAGTTTTTTCTTTAATGGAGGCCAGGAAGAAGAGAAGGGGAAAGAACCAAGGAGTTTCTAGTGACAGACTTCAGATACCATTTCTTACCACTAGTCATTTTCCGGCAACCATCCCAGCTGATGTTTTCTTTTTGCCTCTTACTAATTTTTCTAATATTAGTTTTTAGAAATCTTACATTCATGATAGGGAATGTGACTTTCATTTCTCAATGTGACTTACAACATGATATGATGGTTTTAGTTCCAATCAAAGCAAATTCATGGTGTTGCAGAAATTAATGAGATTGAAGATAGTGTGAAAAATATGAAGGAGACTACCATAAAATTTATGGTTCTATTTCATCTAACAGTCAAAAATAAACTAGACCATTTTATCAGTGGTCCATACTAAATGTCGCCGCATAATTTATATAACATCATCACATGTGCAATGTCTGCAGATTTATAATTTACTGTCTTAAATCAAAAGAAACAATCAAACATGTTCTACACGTTCCAAAGAAAAGATTCCATCAGGAGCAATTGGTGATGCATATAACTTTGAACAGATAATGAACACTACATACACTAAATAAATAAAATCAATACCATAGCAAAAATACAAATGCCATAAAACTTGTGGGGCTAACCAGCCTTTCAAATGACAAGAAAAAAATGTGTAGGGACACTATAGTACAATGGTATTCCCAAGTAATCTACAAAAATCTCATTCTATGTCATACACTGTACTAATGGTCCTTCAACAAATGTATAGATTTCCTGCTATATCAAGTATCTCTCACAGGGTTATGTTTGTAGACCCGTAAATAAACTAAAGTCTATACACGCTAGTCACCAGAAACGTATCTTCTCTCTTCATAGTATCTCTTCTCACTCTTGACTTTCTTCGCATTCCGTTGCTGCATTGTAGATAATAAAAGACAAGCGCAGAAAACCATGTCATGACTTAAACTCAAATATCAATCAGAAATTTGACAGAAAAAGCTTCAATAGTGTAAGCAGTTAACCATTTATATGAGAATACCAACTTTGAAAAAGAAATTACCACATAGGCGTCATGATTGGCCATTATCCTTTGAGCTACTGAGGTAGTAGTAATATCTTTTGGGCTTTCAAGCAAGCGGAATTTGCCAATGCTCTTAGGAACTTCATAAGGATCTTTTTCACTCTGTACAATACAAATTGTTCAGTAATAGGTGAGTGAAAAAAGTGATACTGTGTATTACAAATGAAGAAATGGGTGAACTTACAGGTAATGACTTCTCAGCAACAGTGCCGTGAACAACTAGTGAGATATTGAAAGTTGTGATCTGTTTGATTCCAAATGAAATAAATAAACCTCATGAAGATGAAAATATTCGATGCATTCAAATTATGTTCAATAACATTTCAGACCCTCTCTGTCAAGTGGATGCAAAGTATACAGATAATGTAGAATTGGGGACATACCATGTCCTTTGTAATTTCCCAAGGTGCCCCAATAATGACTTCATCAACATAACGGCAAGCTAACACACTAAGGCTTCGCTCATGTAGATGCATAATTGGATAGTGATTTCCTCGATTTTCACTGCAGGAAATTTGTTAGTTCCTCGTTAATGGTTGGCATGAATACCAGAAGAATACCAAAGTCAACGTGATAAAAATCTGTATACCTCACTGTCTCATCAGAGTGAATACCAACTAAAAGAAAATCTCCAAGTTCCCTAGCTCTCTTAAGCATCTGATAGAACACAGAATAATGAATCAAAAAAAATGATATCAGAATAATAGGATTAAATGGTTCTGGTCTGCTGGATCATGGTGATCCATGAATTAAAGCATTTAATTGAGGATAACAAATCATACTCTACATGAAACCTATCTTTACCTCAACATGACCTGCGTGGAAGAGATCAAATGCTCCATCAATGTATACAATACGAGCATTTGGCCTTGGACCCTAAAATAAGATAAGCAATGGATTATCAAACAAAAAGTTCGGCAAACTATAATGAAGAAAACAAATCACCGATTTTACCCTAGAAACCACCAAAACTTACATAATTTCAAATTGATACGATTTAGCACAGTTAATGAAACGGAAGAAACTAATTACACTAAAAGTTAAACTAGTGAAACACAAACTGGTTTGTAGAATTATGAACCAGATATATAATATTTCTTTGAAAGAGTAGAGACTACACTAGCAACCAAATACCTTGCCATTTGAAAACTGCACAATACGTCGGGAAGTTGGTAGGAATTGGGATATGTGGGAAACCTTTGACTGGCATTCGTCTTGGGGTTTTACATCTTCAGGATTGTTTTGCTCTTTTAAAGAAGACATTATTCTTCCTGTATTGAATCATATTTAGAATAAATGCATATGATTATCGAAACAATGATTATTGAAATTAGTTTATGAGCATCAGAAAGGCATTGATTATGAAGCCCCACACCACGTGTTAGAGAAGCCCGAGTAAAATTTTCATGTTAGGAAGACAAATTGCACACACACTCGTACAATATTTTTCCTGCAGGACCATTTTCTCCCAGCAAAATACGTGGACCCATACTCACCCCACACCCCATACAAAAAAAATATCTATCAACCAAAAAATGTGGCCACAATCCACAGAACTCCAGGATTTCTATAGAAACTCAGTACCTACGATATCCGTACTAGAGACTCCTTCAGTACGCTTAATTTGTTTGTAACGACCAGCTTTCTTTGCCGCAGCATAAGCATCTGTTCCGTCAGGAAGCAGGCAAGGATCGTCGCCATGTATGACATAGTCAATGTTGTATTCATGAAAGAGACGGTTCAAGAAATTCTCAGTAATTGCATAAGGAGCATCAGTTATGACCTCATCCACCCACTTTAATCCACTGACAAGGGCCAGCCTGGAAAACAAATACATTTTCAAATAATAAGTTAGCTTCCAAGATTCAGTTTTCAATATCACTAATACAGAAGAAAAGGCAATCATAAAGAGTTAGCTTTAGCATTAATAACAAGACTATACACTATACATTATCAAATTTCTGGAGTTGAATACATGATGTTTAGATAAGTTTCACCATATCAGCTTCTTCCTCTAGCATTTTAACTATCTTACAAGCCATGTTGGCATATTAGTTGTTCACAAAAACCCAACTTTCTTTCATTGACATGTAATTCTTACAGTTAACAGAGTAGTGGTTTTATACTTTCACCTAATAGAAGAATAACAATTGAAAAAAAAACATGGACATGCGCATCTAACGTTACTAAGATTCAAAAACATGGTACAAATTTGCAGTACGTTTTCAAAAGAAGAAAAAAACACAAGTATTTATACCTCTCATCCATGGATAAAACGGGGGGTCCTTTATTGGCGACGATCTCCTCATCACTAACAAGCCCGACAACCAACTCATCTCCTAAAGCTTTTGCTTGTCTGAGTGCATTAGCATGACCATAATGCATCAGATCAAAACACCCATCCATGTAAACCCGAACGCGCCTCTTCCCAACGTTCTTCTTCTTGCGAAAAACCCCCAAATTGTACCAAGAATGCGGAAGCGGCAAGGAAGGAACCCCAATCACACCAAAGTAGCTCGTTGACAAACCCAACAAAGCCGCCGTAACCATTAGACCACCAAACAAATGTGGATAGTAGTACACCCCTTCCCAAATCCAACCATTACTTTCATAATCCATCTTTAAATTTCTCTCTCCCAGAAACTAACTAGCTTTTATATTAAGAGGAGCCACAGACCTGAAAAACAAAACCATTATGGAAAAAATGAATCAAAATGAATTTTACTAACACCACACTTACACGTCGATTTCGATAATAATTTAAAAAAAGAAAATAAATTAAACATAATTACAATTACAAGTGTATGTGTCCGTGTTTGACCCGAACACAGACGCAGACACGCTTTTTTTCTCGGAGGTGTCAGGTGCTACAGATGAATTTTAATCTCATCAAATTCATATATAAATCACATCATGAAAATCAAAATCACACCAACAAAACGAAATTAAAAAATAATAATTACATTTGCATGTAAAATTGAGATAGAAAACAAAAATAAATAAAAAATATAGAAATCTCCTCAAATTCCGGATCTAGCTAAGAACAACATAACAGTGAAAAATGCATAATCGCTGAATTAAGTATCGAGATTCGATTCCATGCGTGAAAGTGAAAACCTAGCTGAGATCGTGAAGGAGATTAACGAGTAAGCAAGCAAAAAAAAAAAAATCAGAGAATTATGCAATAAATTAATTGAAAATAGAAATGAAAAATGGAATAATAAAAATTTATGAACCTGTAGCTTATGGATTTGTGTTTGTGTCTGTGTCTCCTCTATGTTCTTCTTTTTATTTTCTTCTGTGTTCTTCTCTCTCAGATTCTAACGCAGAAATGAAAAGCACTTTCTTTTGTAAAGATCCTATTTTCTGCATATATAGGTATTAAATATTAATAATACAAGTAATATAAGTCAATTAAATGGACAAGTCTTAATCGTTTAATTGTAAGATATCTTATTTTTTATATTATTATTAATTTTAATAGTAGATTATTTATGGTTCTAGAATTATTAATTTTTTAATAGTAGATTATTTATGGTTCTAGAATGAAAATAAAATATCTAGGTGTTAGTTATTTGTTGTTCCGTCCATGAAACGAAATATGAGTCATTCATTGGATTTACGTGGCATGTGCGTTGTGTTGGTTATGGTCCTTATTGTAGCCTCCAAATAGACTGCTGTTTGTTTATAGATTAATTAATTAATTTCTATGATATTTATTTAATAAATTACTTTCTCCAATAATATTTTTTTAATTTATAATAAATTTATTTTAATGTTGAAAATTTCAATTACATTTTTATAACATATCAAAACATGCATGATTTTTTTATTTTTCTGAGTTGTTTCTTACTAACTTGTTATGAGAAAGGCTTCATTAGTTGTTATGATGCTAAAGTGTCTTTGATCTTGATGCCGAAAGTTTGAATAAAAACATAATTGAACGAATTTAACACTTATACAAAATTATTTTGTGAGTCATCATAAACGAAAAATCAAAATATCTACATTGGATTAAAGGTTCATCAAAACAATTTTATATTTGGATCTATATATATATATATATATATATATATATATATATATATATATATATATACCGGCAATAAAACCTAAAGTGGACCGAAAAGATGACGACTGTTTGGTTGGAAATTTGAGAAGAAAATAGGGGTGTACATGTAAGTCACTCTGACGATCAAGTAAGAAAGAGTGCAAAGAGATACAAGAAAATTATTACGGTTTTTTAGAGTGATTATTGGATATCTGGCTCTCACGAGTGTGAGAGTTTATATAATGTCTCCGGCGCGTAGCCATTTGTTCTTATTTTTGAGCCTAGATATTAGGTTCCTCAAAAATAGGTAATTGTTAAGACTTGGTCAAAATGGGCAGCCATGCTCGTAACTAGTCATTGCTCCGAGCAAGAAGGATAGTATGGACAGGTGCGTCTATGGGCGCTTCCTGGTTGTCTGTTCTACGGGTGTCAGACAGACCTGAAGATGGACGTCGACGCGGGAAAACGTGTGGCCAGGGCAGCGTTATCCTCGCCAACCTTGTGGTGTGGTTGACCATGCATACTCGACCAAAAACCATAGTCAGTGGCCAGAGTTGTTGGGCCAAACTGAAAGTAGAAGTGGATTGAGTCAATTCTAGTCATTGGCCCAGTCCAGAACAGGAGCTCCCCAAGTTGTTGCTTCTGGGCAGAGGAGTAATGACCTAAGACGTGCCCGCGGTCAGGGGACGTTTCGTGATTTTTCAGGGGCAATTTAGTATGAGGAGCTCGAGGGTCGTTCGACTCGCAGGGAGAAGAATCATTGAGCGGGTCTGGGGAGATTGCGTGCCACGTTTGAATCGAGCCACATGTTGTTATAAATGTGTAACGATGACAAGTCTATGGACTAGGGCGTAATAATGACGACCCCTAGACTTCCCTAGGCGTGTGCCCGCTCACGTGCTAGCAAATTTGCCTATAAATAGGAGAGAGCAAGTTCCATTTTCACTTTTTGCTTGCCTTCTCCTGCCCTTTTTGCTAGTTCTGCAAATCGTCGTCGTTCACTGCTGAAGTTTATGGTGGTTTATCGGCTTCTGACGGTGGTTCTACCGCATGAGGATGTCAGCTCCGCCGTGAGTCCTTTAGGAATGTCAGGCGTTAAGGCTGACAACGGCGAGTTGTTATGAGCTTTCCGGCGAAGTTAGGCCGTTTTCGGGCTTTTGCTATGATTTTTATGTGTTTCCGATGAATCCTCAAGTGAGGTTTGAAAACCCAGCTGTCGGGGAGATTGTTCCTCGCGCGAGTTAGGGTTTAGCCTGACGGACAGACGCCCAACGCGTTAGAGGGAATTGTAACGCCCGTAATGTAATTATTTATTTATTTAATTAAATTATTTTTGGATTATTTATGAAGTTGCATGATGTTTAGAATTATCGGTGTGAGTTGTTGGATTATTATTATTAATTAATTAATTAATTGATTAATAATAATTATACAATGTGAAATTAAAGGGAATATATGAAATAATGTTGGACTTATGCTATTGGTTAGAAGTAGTAAAGTGGGGGTGTAGGTTAGGCCCAAGAGGATTGTTATATAAGGCTAAGCTGACACAAGGAATTTTTTTAGTTGGAGAATAAGGATTTTTGTACGCTGACCTGTAGAGTTGCGCGGACGAGGAGCAAGCTTCCCGGTGACGAGCAGAACGAAGCAAAGTCGTCGGCCGAAGCTTTGGTTGAGCGATCTTCAATCCAGGTAAGGGTGGGGTTCTGACCTTATAATGGGATTTATGGTGTTTGTTATGGAGAATTGGTCGTAAGTGTAGATTGTTGCGTGTTGATGTTTCTGATCTGCTAGTGAAGCTTCCCGTTTACTCATGACTTTGGCCGTTAGGGAGTACTGTATGATCGATTAATGAACATGTTAGATGAAGTTGCCAGGTTGTGAGTTATGGATGTTTTAAGTTAGATGTGTGACTGTCGGTTTAATCAAAGTGTAGGTTAGGTCGTGATGGTCGTTAGGACGTTAGGTTATTCTGAGCGAGTGACTGGAAAATTAATAATTGTTGAAGTGGTCATTTCAGGGAGGTTCTGCGGGACTATCTTGTATGTTGATGAATTTGTCGATAGGAATATAATTGCTCGTTACTGTGTTATTCCGAGCGGTTGGGCGGAAGTTATCAATTATAGTGGTGTGGTCGTTAAGACGTTGTATTGTGTCTGTGTTGTTGGCCGAATTAGTAGTCGGGGAGGATACTGAAGAAGTAGGTACCGAGCAGTATTTCAGGCTGCGAGGCGTGTCAGAGAATGATGCATTGGAATTTCGAGCAGAATTAGGTTGCAGGACGTGTCGAGGAGCATAGGTTGGTCGTTACCCTGTTTTTCTCAGTGTGTGTCGAGGAGTGTGATTTAGTTTTATGATGTCCTAGTTGTTGTACATGTCGAGGGGCACGTAGTTTCCTATCCCTTTTGCCCGTACATGTTGTGTTTTGGTCGTTACTAGTGTCGTGTGAAATTATTGTTAAGTTGTTGTTTGATTATGTTAATGACTGAATCGTTGATTGATGTGATAGGCTTATGGCCAATGTTGATTTATGTTGAGTTGTTGTGATATTGTGATTACTGTGAACATTGTTGATAATGCGAAGTTGCAGGGAATTTTAAATGATGATAAATTACCTCTATTTACTGGTAATAATGGTGATGTGGGTGTATGCCTTACGATGGATGATGATTGTTGTGTGTATGTGATAGTGCATTCATATACATTTGCATACTCAGTGATGGCCTGGATTAGCAAACTGCGAAGAAGGCTTATGCCTTATTGATGCCTCTATTAATTGGCAATTATTAAGATAGGAGTTTTGCTCCATTGGGAGTTCTACTCCAATGGTACCACATGCATTCGCATAGTATAGAGTCGCATTCCAAGTAGTATGATTTGGCTATTGTGTTGATGAATTAATTATTGTATGTTGTTGATAACCTGTTGTGATTGTTGTTGTTATAAGTTGTGAAGTGGTGATTTTGCATGAACTGATTCTAATATGATATTTATCATACATTCTATTATATTGTTCGATATCTCACCCCTTCTGTTTGAATATTACCCTTATGTTGGTAACGTGCAGGTAATCCAGAGTGAAGGCGATTTACCTTTAGTAGTTTGAGTCGGTGTCATTGCTCTGATACGTAACACGCGGGGGGATGAATGCTTTTTGCTTTAGTATTTGTTATTTCAGTTGGTTGAACTTTAAGTTGATTGTTGTTAAGTACTTGTTATTCAGAAGTTGCTTTCATGTTGGATAAAGATGTTATTATGATTCCGTTGCGTAGTTGTTCAAGTTGTTGATTTAATAGATTAATTTATTTTGTTGTTGGTTCATTTGAAGTTTTAAAGTGTTATGTATCCATGTTGAATGCAATGGTTTTTAAGTTGAAATTGTGGCATCTTGATTCAGTTGTATAATTTTTATAACTCTGGTTAACATTTATATTGTCGGGTAGAATTGGGGTGTTATAGGAATCGTCTGTGTGTTCGCCTGTTTAGATGAAGGCTCTGGTTGAGGACAGGGTACTCGTTCCTTGGCACGCCCTTTTACTTGATTAGCGGTGGAAGGGTGGATTTGATT